CCTCTTTTGTGAACCACACATGTCACGGGAGTTTCTCTGTCGAACGGGGCAAACCTTACACCTACCTTCAAAATCTGGCAATGAATCAGTGGTTCTTCTTTGCCAATACTCATACATAAATGATCAAATGAAATTCCTCGGGAATGTCTCTTTGCAACTAACTGGTAGGACCTAAAAAAACCTCCAGACATCCATATTATTGTGTATTATTGTCTTCAAGATATCCTTTTGGAATGAGGTGTTGCACAGTACAATGGCATCTGGTCTCTAGGGAATTTGAAAAATGCAGATTGTTGAAATCCATATCAATCTGGCTTCAAAACTGGCAATGAGATGAAGACCACATTGTTTATCTTGTCAGACAATCTAACAAGGTAGGGTGTGGAGATCATGGGTCCCTGCTGATTCTTCTAGACTACTTGGTAACTTTCAATAGTTGAAAGTTGGGGAGATTTAGATGTGGTCCTTTATCAGCAAATTGATATAGAAGATGGTGCTAGAAAAATCTGATTTGATATCAGGGCTCTGGATCTGTGATAGCCCTCAGGGCTCCAATTCTTCTTTATGCTAATTAATGAATATTACTCATTTGTTTAATATGTTAATTCATTCTATTTATTATGGAAAACTAACATGTATAAGAAGCATTGTGTATATTTTAGAAATGTAGAATACTAAAATAAAATTATATCCCATGAAGGGTTACTTAAATAGATCTAAACATGTGTGGGTGGGGTGGTAATGGTGAGACACTGATTGATAATAAATGATCAACTGGCTGATTTTAAATAACACTCCTGAAATATTCTTATCTGAGGATCACTTTTCTATTTTATTTTTATCATTAAATGCTCCTTTGTATTCAGGTCAGGCCTTAGCAGAATAATGTAACACTTGGGGAGGAAGATGCAGCCCAGCAGCCCAGCACTAGAGGCCAAGATGGAGAAGATCTGCACAGCCACCATGTACTTGCCCTTGGTGCTCAGGTAGGTAGGCACAAAGGACACCCAAACACTGCAGAAGACCAGCATGCTGAAGGTGATCAACTTGGCTTCGTTGAAGGATCCAGGCAGCTTCCTGGCCAGGAAGGCCACCACAAAGCAGATGGAAGCTAGGAAGCCCATGTAGCCAAGAGCACCATAAAACATGGCAACAGAGCCTTCATTGCACTGCAGGAGGATTTCTCCTGGCTGAGAGTTCTTATCAGAGTCAGGAAAGGGAGGAGATACTCCTAACCAAGTGGAGCACAGAACAATTTGGGCACTAGAACAGACAAGAATGAGGCTGTTGGTGAAACTCTTCCCCAGCCATCTCCTCACCTGGTTCCCTGGCTTTGTGGCCAGGAAGGCCAGCACAACTGTGATTGTTTTGGCCAAGACAGAAGAGACAGCAACTGAGAAGATGATGCTGAAAGCTGTTTGTCGAAGAAGACAGGTGGCTTCTCTTGGCTGGCCAATGAAGAGGAAGGAGGACAAGAAGGAAAGCAGAAGGGAGACAAGGAGGATGTAGGAAAGGTCCCGGTTGTTGGCTTTGACTATGGGAGTTTCTAGGAATTTAATGAAGATTCCTAACACAAAGCCTGTGGTTAATGACAAAAAGAGGGAAACAGAAGCTAAAATGATCCCTAAATGTTCTTGATAGCACAGAAAACTTATAACTTTAGGGACACATTGATCTCGGTCTTCATTGGGATGCTCATCTTCTGGACACTTGGTACATTTTTCTGCATCTGAAAAAAGGAAAAAAGGAAAAATAGTATCCCTCTTACAGCCTATTCTTTTAAATTCACTCATAATTGTTTGGTGAAGATGATTTTCAAGAGCCAGAGAAGCCATAACTGATATCCTGAATATTTTTGTGTATGTAAGACTGTGGCAGTCATTAGCCTGGATGAGGACTGGAAAACTTTGAATCTTACACTACCTCTTCTAAGGTGCTCTGTTGGCCACCCTATCTTGTCCACACTGTAATATTGTAAATTTGGTTAAGGTGAGAAATAGCTACAGCTGCTGTGACACTTAGGCTGTCACCACACTTTCCCCTAACCAGGGCATAATCATTCCTTGTGAACAGCAATGTTCCCCCTTTTCTTGCCTTCCTTTCATTCCCCAGCTCATGAATAAAACATCCTTAAATTATTTGCTGTGTTAGTATCAAAGTGATATTTCCCCACTTATTCCAACATAGTAGAGAAGCCGCCTCAAGCCTGTTAGGCTTAGGGTCTTTTTTCCCATGTATTTTCATTTCTATGGAGTTTTTTCATTTCCATAGAGGGAAGCAGAGGACTGCAGGGACTGGAAACAAAGACAGAGGCAAGAGAGGAATCGGCAAAGGAAATGGCAAATTTCCCTGTTTCTGCTATCTCAGGAATGGGGGAAGAAGACTGCAAATCATGGGGAAGGGCCTTTATAGCTGTCATGGTACGTGGGAATGACCTTGGGAGATAGGAGGAAGAGCCACAGCCTAGGCAACCATCATGCAAAAGATATCTCAGCCCACAGAAGGTTAGGGAATGTGGGAAGCATTTCAAAAACAATCCTCCCTAGTTTTCTGGAAAGTAAAAGTAAAGGAGGGGAGAAATGCTACAGATTGTCAGGCAATGCCATGCTTCTTACTGTCGCGCTCCTGTCCAGCCTCTTCAGTCATTTCTTATTATTCACTGTGAAAACAACCAACAAGGGGCCAAGGCTTTTACAAAGGCCTGTTCCCTGAAAACCTTTCCCTCAAGTCACCTTCTTGAGTAGAGATGGTCCCTTCTGCACAAGGAACACAATTGTAGCAACAAACAGGTTCACTTTCACGGGCCACCTTGATGGATCCGGGCTGGCAACTTTCCACACACTGGGAAGGAGGGAAAGTCTGTACCCAAAAAGAGAGAACAACAAGGAAAGTGTGTCAGGGCTCAATTCTCTATAGGAGAAATAGAATCAAAAGTAGAGAGGATCAAAAAGTCTCTCTTGCACCAGGCTTAGATAAATGGAAAGCAATGGTAAGAAATAAAATATAAACAGACAAACAAATGGTAGCAAATAAACAAACAGTAAAATGTGAACCCTCTAACCAAGCCATAGTTTTTGTAACTGTTCAATTGCACATTCTTTCTGAGTTTACTTCTCCCCTCCTATTGCTCCCCTTCTGTTACATGGGTGTTTCTCACTATAGTTTTTGAGTTTCTAGGTCCCTTGGAGGAAGGATTATCCTTCTGTATGGTATGAAGCTGTGGAAAATGAAGAAATGTTTTTTGCTTTCTCGTCACCACCTTATGAGAGAGGTAGGTTGAAGTCATCCTTAGCTTTATTTATTTAATAACCTGAAACTGAATACACTTAAGACCGTGGAGAT